GCGACTTCACCATGAAAATGTGCCCACGAATTGAGCTATACATACCATAACATATAACAAATATTAAATTAAAACTTATCTAAAGAGACTGATAGCAATTTCCAACAAGCTTCTAAAATATGAGTAGGGCATAGTGTATCTGCAGTCTGTACTGTTACAGTCAAAATTTATAACCGGTCAAAGCCACTGCAAAAATCGGGTTACTTATTTCGTTTATCCAGCCTAAACCAGTCGCCCTAAGGTAAAATAAGTTCAAAATATTCTTTATTATTAGTACAATAAGGTATCAGAGTGGACTTTTGAAGGTGGATAAACGGAATATCCCCGAAAATCAGGCAAAAATAGTTTTGACCAATGCCCTTACTCAAAAACAGTTTACACTGATTTTTATAGCCAAAAATGTTTTTTATCAATCCTCAGTTATAAGTGGTTTTGACCAACGTTTTAGTCCAATATGGTTTCGCCTGATATAAAGTTCAGACTATCAATCAAAACTGCGGTAGGTTAAGGTGTGGCTGGTGAGGCTCTTGGGCCACCGTAAAGTTGCCTACTTTAAAATTATATAAAATATAATATTGAAAGAATTGAACTTTATAATTTTAAAAATTCAAAAATTATACAAAAATAATTTTGACTGACATTTTTGGTCAAAACCACTTTTAGCCAATATACTTAATATATATTGATATAATCGTTATCCATAAATAAATTAAAATAGCATTGAGAGGCCGAAGGGATAATCGCAACCTACCATATAATACATTCTAATTAGTAAAGAATATGAAGTTTTAAAATAAACAACACTATTGTGCTAAAGAAAAAGTAAAGTTAGAACATTAATACATCCCACTCCTGGGTACTGGGTACATGCCTCCTCACATTTCACAGAGGGGTTTAAAACGCAAGGAAATGACTGCCATGCTACCCCAATGCATTGTTGGTGAGCTTCACGTCTTTGAAAATATATTTTTTTAATTTCTCATGTTTTCTTTCACCATTGAGCATGTGGTAAATCAGCACTTAATGATGATGTGCAATTAACAATTTCATTGGTGCCAGTTGAGATAGAACCTGGGTTGATCACATACTGCGAAATTTATAATGAGCTCTTAAGCCGTCTCCACATGCTTGGTGTTTGCCACAAACACCAAGAATCACCAAACACGTGTCAAGCACCGACTACAATCACCCAACACAAACACGGCATCCTCATGCTTGGCGAAAATGCTAGTATATACCGGATGGGCAAACATGTTGGATGACGAGCTTTTGGCAGCGATTACTATCGGGTTGACCTATTTTTCTACCGACTTCAAAAAGGAGCCGGTACTCAATTCGACTGTATGTTGTTTTTTTTTGTGTGTACAAACCAACCTACAACCAACGACCAATACCAATTCACCCATTCGTGTTTGTTATTTGGTCTTCGCTGTTTGCCATGTTTGCCAAGCATGTGAAGGCAGCTTTTTAGGCTCTGTGCTACAAACACTTCTCTACTATACTGTTAGCTATGTTATTTTTAATAATTCATTGATAAATAACATCAAGCAGGATGTGGAGGTTTGCAATTATTCTTCTATTCTTAGCTCTGTAGCTATTTCTGTTTGTCTAGTTTGTATACCACTTTGACTAGAGTATTGTACATCTGACATCAGTATTGTTAATATGCCAATATACTCTAATCAGAAATAAAAGATGTGGAACATCAGCATTGTAAGCCAAGTTAATTTAATAGAACTGTTAATGCTTTTCTAATAGTGTGAAAATAAATGAAAACAACATTTAGTCACATGGCATAATGTTGATATGTGTACTTTTTATAGTTTTATATTGGCGTCAGCTATTGTAAACATTGAACTTGACTAACCCACCCCCCCCCCCCCCCCAACACATTGAGATTGTCAATCTGCCTTGAGGTTTTTGTTTTATGTATGAGGTTCTTGTCCATTACTGTACTGTGTAACAGTTCATTAACTTTTTGTGGGCTGATGATGCAGGGAAGTTCCTCATCAACAGTTGCAGTAAAATTAACCATTTATCTAAATTTTTATAATATATGTATTTAATGTGAGAAACTTTTTGAGGTATTTTTTCTCTATTGACTCAACATTTTTTAATATTAAGTCTAATAAAAAAAATATATCAATTAATTTCTTTAATAATTAATAGTAATTTATTTCAGGTTTTTTTACACCCATTTCAAATATCACTAATTGTTAAAAACAAAATGAAAATAAGGATACAATAAATAATAAAATTATTAATTTAGGTAAGATATGTTTTTAATAAGAATTTTCATTAAATAAAACATAAAAAATAAGAGAAGTATGGCTTGCAAAACAATGTTGTGACAGGAAAAGTGACAAAGTAAACTCTTGCTGCAAAAGGAGTGACAGTCTACTAGGGATACATTAGATGGATGATCATCAATAAAAAAAATTATAGGATAACTGGACAAGCGGGCACACAGTCCGCCTGATGGTAAGTTGTTGCTGTGGCCCATAGACATCTACTTTAACAATCAAAATGCAGATGCATTGTCAGCCGTGAGAACTAAGATGGAATGCCTCTTTTCCAGTAAAAGGGTCTCCGGTACTCTACACTCACCATATGAAACACATCAGCAATAAGCTGCTATTTTATGCTGGTATTCTGTGAGATTGTGGTCTTTCCCCAGTCGAGCGACCCATTCGTGCTACAACTATACAACTAAGCAGCATGGCTCTACCACATTTAAAAAAAATTGGTAGTAATATAGTGAATATGACCCAAATGAAGGATACCCTTAACCTTTAAGCATGTAACGCAAGCGAAAGGAGAGTGTCATGATTCAGTTCTGTTGTTTGCCACCATCTGGGTGATAGGTGTGCATTAATTTATGTAAATATTCAAAGGAAGGCTACCGAAATGGTGAAACAACTGCAAAACATGACATATGAGCAGCGAAGGAAGAACCTTAACCTAACAACACTAGAGCGCCGTAGACAGTGAGGTAGTCTGATTGAAACATACAAAATATTGACAGGATATTACGATCTATCTACTCTGCAAAATTTGTACTTACTGAATAGTTACAAACTTCTAAGAGGACATCAACTCAAACTCTGCCATAGGGCTGCCAAGCGGAATCCAATGAAGAATTTTATTACAAATCATGTAGCCATCGACTGGAATAAGCTACCGTAAAATGTGATTGATGCTCCAACATTAAACGCCTTCAAGAACAGATTGGATAAAATCTCCAAAAAATTAAGATTCATGTGCATCAGCTTTTTACCTGGGAGTGTGTTTATGTAATAATAATAATAATAACGTATAGAAATAAATTCTTATTAGATGATTATTTTAATTTAAATTGTGCTATAATTTTGTTATATTATTTAAAGACTTATCCCACCACATAATCACTCTAATTAGAACCTAAAATCCTTATGCATTGAGTGGTTTATGACAGTAGTCAAGAAGAAGATTTGAAGATATGATTTAGAGCTTTGAAACCCTGCTTAAAGGCTTATTACATTATACGATTTCTTGGGCCCTGCCCGCAGGGACAGTGTAGTGTAATAAGAAACAGGGAGGCAGGGAGCTCAGTTGCGTGGCCGCAAGCGCAGAGTCTACACATCTGTTTATTATTCTTTTTTTTTTTATAGAATAGGGGTGACAAACAAGCACATAGTCCACCTGGTGGTAACTAGTTTCTGTGGCCCATAGACATCTACATCTATCTTCGTTTGCGAATTAAAATGCAGATGCCTTGTCAGCTGTGAGGACTAAGATAGAATGCCTCTTTTCCAGTAAAAAGGGTCTCCGGTTCTCTACAATCAACATACAAAAGACAGCAGCATTAAGCTGCTATTTTATGCTGGTATTGTGAGAGTGGGGTCCTTCCTTGGTCGAGCCGACCTATTCATGCTACAACTATACTGTTAATATAGCTGCAGCATGGCTCTACCATGTAAAAATACGTATTTAAAGTTCTGGAGCGTCGATCTACTCTCATAAATCATTGCTTGTAACAATGTCATGCGCTAAAGAAAATGATTTCCTTCTCAAAGTCATCGATATCTACAGAGATATGCCTTATCTTTGGAGGAAAGAGCACAAGAACTATTCCAATAAAGAAATAAGAAGCAAAGGCTTTAAAGTACTTCTACAAATTTATAAATCTTAGGAGCAAATATTTTTTCACCCACATTTTCCTTTCCTTTTTTAGTTTGGTCTTGTATGGTAACGACAGCCAAAATTACCACTAAAGCAATTTTTCGACGTTTAGATAAAGTTGGCACCATAATGTTAGACGTGCAAACATTTCCGCGTTTGAGTAATGACTGAGGCAGGACGCAATTTTTAGCATAAGTGTAATAAGCAGCGCCCTACCTGGTAGGCAGGGCACACGATAGACAGGGCCCGATAAATTGTGTAATGTAATAGGCCTTTTAAGGAAATGTTTATGTATAAGGCTACTTACTGCCACTTTGATTCAATCAATGTGGTGAAGAAAACCTCATGGTGAGGCATAGAAGGATTTATCACCTGGTATTGAAATAAAATGTATCTTGTCATACCTATTATATGACAATTTTTTTATAGAATAAGGGTAACATACAAGCACAGTCAACATGATTGTAAAGGAATGCCGTGGCCCATAAACATCTCCATTTATCCTCGATTAAGAATCAAAATGAAGATGCGTTGTCACCCCTTAGGACTAAAATGGAATGCCTCATTTCCAGTAAAACGGGTCTATGATCTTAAATATTTCAATTACTTAAATCAATTCTATTCTTTAGGTGCGATTGAGTTACAAACTTATAAACATGCAATTCTCTAACTCTTCAAAGCTTGAAAAAATCCAATTGGATTTATTACTTTTCAAAGTTATGATGTAAAGTATTTAAAACAATAGTAATCATATGAAATATGTCGATAGAATATTAGCAAAAACTACTCATCATCTGAGTTAAACTAAGAAAAATATCTTAATATTAATCTAAGCTTACCTTTTGCTGATATTAAAAGCTGCGATTCCACAACTTTGTTAGGCCAGTATTCCTCAAACTCGGTCCCAGGTGGAAAATAACTTTTGATGTCCGTTAAACTTATCACAGAACAAGTCTCACTGGCAAACAGTTCATTCCGTATCCCTTGCACTTTACAGCAGAACTTCAAGTATGATAGGTCCCAGCCTTTAAGCTGGTCCGCTTTCAACTTCAAATTGTCTGTTTCACCTTCAAAATAGAATAGAGGAACAAATTTCTGATTATCACGAACAGTATATGGAACAACCGATTCTTTGTTTATTCTAATAAACCCACACTTGTCTTTATTGTTTGTTGTACCACGTAACAACTTATTGTAACAAACGTCTAAGAAGTTATAGAACTCATAAGCATCTGAGAGCCTCACTACCAAGTCCTTCTGTGTAAATGGTTCACGCCCAAATTGTCCATCACAGTGCCTATTGTTGATTTCATTTAGTAACCGTGCTTCTATTTCCGTTATATAGTAACTTCTAATACATGTACAAGAGTAGATATCAGCGTGTAAATAGTTCAGGTACTTGTTGAGGAGTTTGATTTCCACCATGCGGACGGCTACATACTTTTCGCCCGAACGGTAGATGTATGGAATATGGCATTTACCGAGCATATCCCATCCAAAGTGACCCTTCCAACTAGCTTCATCGGGTGCTGGCGTCTTCTTTTCGTCAGGGGCAGGTCGCTGTTGCTCGTTGTTCGCACCAGGTTTACGGGTTAAGAAGTTAAGGATGCCCATTTGCCCGCCCGCGCCTGGTGGTGCAGCACCCATCATAGCACCGGGTGGCGGTCGAGCAGCCGCTGCAGAAGCTGCCAAAGCCTTCGCTTTATTTGCTTCCACCATCTTTGCAGCCAATTCCCTGATCTCCGCCTCATCAGGCCGCTCGGTTTTTACCTTAACAGTTGATGTTTCCGTCATGATGCAGGTTGGCAAGCCACTGTACCGAAAATCACATTCACAACTAGTCCTTCATATCCTTTTTATGATGGACACGACTACATCATGTCCGTTTGTCACAACAGCATCACAAAAACAGCGTAAACATTAGCACTGGCACTGCACTCCGTAAAATAAATAAAAGTTACTTCACTTGACAGATTAGACGCATCAATTCTTGAATCCAATTAAAGGTTAGATCTTTAAAAACTACTGAATGAAAGACAAACTGTATATAGCAGCGTGTTCATGCGAGCGATGGCTTGCGGCGACTAAGGTGGAAATGGAAAATAAACTTCCGTCTTTGTAACTTTTTGAAAATGATAAATTTCCCGGCAATCTCTCAAACGTCAAAACTTTTTAAAGGCTGATTCTGATGTTTTTCGACATATATTTTTCAGAAGAATACGCTTCAACATTCACGCTTTGGTTGAGGGAACATGAAACCCAAATTTTGTGTTCACGAGGGAAATGCCCAATACCGTTGTATAGTCTCGTGGGGAGTGCGCTTCATGTATATTTTTCACCTTTTGGTGACTCAGCATTGAACAAAATGGCCGCCGACAAGGCTTTGTTGGCCAATCGAGCCGAAGCTAGCGGTAATACATATACCTACAAAAATCCCGTCGATGACGTAGACGCACTCCTTACGAGATTAGTTCTCAAGGACTTTTCATTTTTAGCTTCCAAACTATGAAGCTATTTTTGGATTTGCAAAAGAAAACAACGAAATAAATATTTTATTAAAATTATAGTATTTTTATAATATCTGGTTAGTTTCTTATGTTTACTTAAAATTATTACTGAGTTCAAAAAGATTTATGAATGTACTCTTACAAAGTAGGTAGTCACTATGGATAGTCTCGTAACACTGTCCAATGGCTTGAAGACGTTTTACTTTTATAGACTATACTAAAATCACCTCTATTGCTATCGTAATACAGTCTTATAATGCAACAGTTCAACTACAAATTCCGCTTTAACGCCTTTTGTAACGAGACTAGCCGACGCGCGCATTCCATGAACAATAATCCCCTGCATGAGTGAGCGGGACAGGAACAAATAAAAAGTAGATGTCAAATGTTTAGGTATTTTACTATGAACGTAAAGAGAACGTAGGTAGATATATAATGCAATTACAAGCTTACGTAAGCACTTCTAACCTACTTAGAAACAAAGTATCAAAGTTAACTGTTTTGGGCCGAAATCATGTTAAAATAAGTTATGCATTATAGAAACTCAAATAGAATAATTCAATATTTACTAACGTTTATTTATTTACCTGTTTACATACAATAAACTGATGGGTACCATCGCATGAATCAAGAATTTTCAAACATAATAACAAACGCATGTTTTTAGACTCTACTTATATATTTCTGACTCTACATTTGCATATCATAGCTTATCTTAGCTTACTCAAAATGCTAAATAAGATCAAAGTTCTGAATTACAAATTGAACTATATTTATACTAAAAGCCTACGCCTTACAACTACGAAGGCAGTCTCGGACAGTTTGTTCTATTAGGTATGTTAGGTAATTACTTAGTTTATTAATCGATACAATCCCATCGTCTCTCCTTAACTCGACGAGATATTACTGCCACTTTCCTTTCGGTTTTGGCGCCTATATTATTTAAATCACCAATTGGTTATTGTTTCGCAAAATTGCTCACATCCCATATTTAATTTCATGAAAATTAAGGTAACGTTTCACTCTCGTAATTTTTTTTTCGAGCACTTTGTCTACCTGATTGTAAGTGATATCGTGGTCAATAGACAGACTATCCTCGATAAGGAATCTATCCATGCAAAATAGAATGCTTTGTTACTAGTGAAAAGGGTTTTCGGATCTCCACACTCTCCATAAGTGGCTATTTTACGCTGGTACTCTGTGAGAGCTCAATGCTTCCCCGGCCGAGCCGACTCATTCGTGCAGCAGCATGGCTCTACCACATTTAAACAACTATTTGTTGAAAACAATTCAAATATTATACCATGATATGCTAAATTATTTAAAGATTAGATATTTTATACGTGGTAGAGCCATACTGCAGCTATATTAGTAGTATAGTTGTAGCACGAATGGGTCGGCTCGACCGGGGAAGGACCACGCTCTCACAAAATACCAGCGTAAAATAGCAGTTTAACACTGCTGTCTTTCGTTTGGTGAATGTAGAGAACCGGAGACCCTTTTTACCGGAAAAGAGGCATTCCATCTTAGTCCTCACGGGTGACAACGCATCTGCATTTTGATTCGCAAACGAGGATAAATGTAGATGTCTATGGGTCACAGCAACCACTTACCATCACGTGGACTGTGTGCTCGTTTGTCACCCCATACTATAAAAAAAAAAATTCTACCAATAAATTCTATTTAAAATATACTTTTTTAATTTTTACTAAGAAAACATGTTTCTTAAAAATGAATCAAGCAAAAAAAAAAAATTTTAATTCTAAATATTATTGTCATCGTATTAGTTGTTGCCGCCGTTAATTAAGATTTGAATGGGGTCAAAAGTTGACCGGGACGATTGTGTTTTAACCGCTTACTGCACAATTAATTCATAGCCCAAGTTAGAATCTAAAACGAGGCCAAAATTATTACGAAGAGATCTGTAGTGATCTAATGATATATTCTGAGTTTATCTCTGATACCACATCTATGATCGTATTGCCTGGACTTTGATGTATGCATAGCATATTGAGGTATGGACGTAGTAGTAGGTACTATTATTTATTATCTGGTATGGATAAGTGTCGAATGAAAGCTTAGATACTGACGAACAAAACTCAACGAAATATATGTTTATTACCTATACAATCACAGCACTATAATTTATTAATATCATTGCATGTTTGACAATCTGATATTTATTAACTGATAAAAGGCTTTAATTTAAGGTACTTATTGACATTAAAATCATCGTCACCATCATGGGATATGATGGATGGGTAATTATCAAATAAACATAATTAAGATTACCATATAAAAGTTCGGACAAAAACCGGACATTCAAATGTACGTAGGTCGGACCTTTTTTGAAAATCAGAATTGTGAACATTGCAGCTTGCATTGTAGCTTGCTTTTTATTTTTTCTGAAAGTTCATACTTTAGTCTATTGCAAAGTTCGGACAAATTAGGCGAAATAGGTCAACATATAGGTACTTAGATTCGGACGGATGATGAAATTATCAGTTAGATCCGGCTAAATTCGAATGAATGTAAACTCTACAAACATAAATAATATCTAAGGAGATATATTATAATTAAAATTTCATGTGTACTCAAATTTTGCACCGAATGGCCTAGTGACTGGCGTACCAAGCTACACTATGTCGCGTATCCTAAGTTCAAATCCGAACTGGTACTAAAATTTGTGCAAAAAATGTTTGAATGTTGGGTTAATTGCTATTCAATTGTCTTTGTGCTTACTAGACTGCATATTTTTATAACAGAATACCTAAAATACCATGCACCATCTTTTTACATAGGGAAATTTTATATTTCGTGGAAATGACTACCCGCAAAGCGGGGGCAAGAACGGGTTATGTCCGACTCGCACCGACTAAAACCCCATAGTTGACATACATGCATCCCTCGGCAGCCACCCCTTCTCGTGAGAGGACCACTCCTCCCCCTTAGTTATGGCGCATCAGAACACAAGACACGTCTTCCTCCGCGGCCTCCAATTTCAACTGCGCAATAAAACTACCCTGGAGGCCCTGGGGCCAGGAAAAACGAACAATTGGTGGAACTAGCCGTCCTGACCCCAGCGGGACATCCTGTGTATACATATAATATACAGGCTCTTTTACCCTTCTGAAACCAGATCAAAAGTGGGTGCACTACTAGTAAATTACTAAAAAGATACATAATTTGTACTTTTTTGTTTTACATGACAATGCCTACAGATATATAGCATACCCGCCTTGCGGGGGCAAGGACAGGTTATGTCGGACTCGCAACGACTAAAACCTTCGTTGCATATTGGCATGGCCATGGGAACGCTTTTGCACACGTCCGCAGCCCCACCAGGGCTGGTTGCCCCATGGCGACCCCTCGTCTGAGAAGACTACTCCTCCCCCATCTTCTTCTCAGGTAAGGCGTACCAGAAAACATGGTGCGTCCTCCTCCGCGGCCTCCAACTTCACCTGCGCAACCGACGCTTCCGTATACGAAGCGCAAAGGCCATGGAGCCGGAAAAAACGTGCGGTGCATCCCCGTCAGAGTCGCGGAGGATAGGGCAGGTGGCGCATCGCCATACCAACACTCCTCTTCATCCGCGACTTCACCTCGGCTGCAGAGTAGGGTGAGAGGGCACCCTCTCGCCTCAGCCCACTAACACGCACCCGAAATGGGTTCGCCAAGCCTACTCGGAGTGGCCACCTCGGACCGGCCCTACATCTCGCGCCAGCCATGTGGGTTCCTCTTAGTTCACCGCGGGTGACCAAACCACAGGTTCTAAGCCCCATCTCCACGACAATGCGGGAAATCGTTCGGGAGGAGGATACATGTGTACCTACCCAGACGTTCTCCTGTGCAGGACTCGCCACTAAATATTTCTGTACAACAGTTAAATATAGTACAGATAATGATTTCTAATATTTATACGAATACTGCATTGAATAAAACTAAGTTTACGGGTTTTATCGCGTTTAATTTGAATTATTTTTAATTCTGCATAGATCGGACCATAAGTTAATATCTGATGCGGAAAATGGGGGGTAGAGGTAAGGAGAACTATCTCTGTGTGTGAAAAAGTGTCCATGGAAATGCGTTAAATTAGGGTGGCTGACGCTACAATAGCAGCAGGGTATATTTTAAATTAATTATTTTAATGTTTTTTTTTTAATTAGTAATTTAATTTTAAATTAATTATTATTTTTTTAAATTAGAGAACAAAAGTTCATCAAAAACAAAATGATATAAAACATTCCACAAGTGTTAATTTTTGAATGAAAAATATAAAAACATTTG